GAAGATGAGAAGAAAGGCCAGAAAATAATCTAACTGTGGATACTTGGTGGATTCACACCAGACGTCCAGCAACTTCAATCTGGAGACTCTAAACTTTAAGATCCTGCCTTAAATTTTTTAAATTAACTCGAAGCCATCTGCTTTTTGTGCAATCAAAGAAATCACTTCCAAAGTGTTTTGGAAAAGAAGAGAAAGTCACTCCAGTCTGAGCTGCTTGTTCACATGAGCTGCTCCAACAACTAAGCAGTAAAAAAATTATGTTTGCAACAAGAAATATTTGACGGAAGTGCGCATACACTTCTTTGTGGTTTTATGATGAGGCTTGTAGTTTCTAATAAAAAAAAGAAAAGAAACATCAGTATTCGACGTGTCAAAGCAGCCTCAGAAGATTGTGGTCTAGAAAATCTAAAACTATTTCTGTGCTAAATGAATTAGCTGAGAGTCCGCAGTCAGATGATCTCTGTCTCTTCCGTATTTAGAAGCAAACACTGCTATCTATCAGCGTAACGCTGCTCAGTTTTATGCCTCTGCTGTTTGTGTGACAGTGGCGGATTTGCATGCTCCTACTTTGTGCCTCTTCTCTGACCTGTGTGTTCATGTGCAGATCCAGCAGAAACACACATTCATCAGCCGCACGGCGAAGCTTACTGCCGCTGATTGGCGCTAACTGGAGTCTCATGACAGTCCGCTCTGGTGCTGCTGCATTACTCACTGCCTCGCTCTTCCTTTCTCTCACTCACACATACAAACACAAACTCAAATTCTTCATACAGGCTTCGTCAGCCATTGTCTGGCAACGTACAGTCAGCACAAATGCAGCAAACACCCTGACCGAAGCGGGGAACTGTACAGAGGCGTCTGGTATGTTCGGCTTGTGGTATTTTTCAACTTCTTCTCTTAAGCCAGAAAATACTCCCCGTTTGTATCACTACAAACCAACAAACAAACCTTCGTACTTAAAAAAATCTAAATTTCTTTTAAGAAGGAGCCAACTCTCTCTAAGTGGTACATTTTAAAGGTGACCTATTAAGCTTCCTTGAACCGGTTCGGATCGGTCTATGGGTTATTCAAAACATATTTATTACATTTTCTGCACATAATCATTCTGAGATGTTGAGAATTTAGTCGGATCAGTTCTGTTTATTCTGAGTTCCATTCAGAATGAGCTGCTTTAGGGCCTCTTGTCACTTTAAATCCAAATATGCCCCCAATTCAACGTGAAAATAACTCCAAGCAGATACGCAATCATATATCCATATGTCTAAGAAAAGCAGAAGTGGAGCCTCCTGTACAACCAACAAGAATGCAGCAAGTGGTTTCTGGATGGTAAGTCAACAACAAAAAAACTGTCTTCTCTAGCAGCCATTGTACAGTGCATACAGTAGTAAAACCAGCTGACCAAACATGCTGGAGTTCAGCTTGGTTGCTAGGTAACGGGACTGGGGTTGGCTGGGGTTGCTCGGTAACGGGGCTAGGCTTGGCTTGGCCCTGACCTTGCTAGGAGCTAGGTCAGGGACTGCTGATTTGTGACGTTACATTCTGGAAGTTTTTGAAACAGCTAAAAAATATTAACTTTTTGCTCAGAAACGGCTGGGTGTTTATTTTTAAGCGTTTCGGCTGTTATGAGAAGCAGTTGAGACCAAAGTAAAAGCACCAAAAGGCGGAAAGTGTGAGCCACAGTAAGCTATGAATCAAAATGTACAGTGCATACAGCGGTAAAACCAGTCAACGAAAAGAGCTGGAGCTCTGCTGGGGTTGCTAGGTAACCGGACTGGGCTTGGCTGGGGTTGCTAGGTAACGGCACAGAGCCTGCAGAATGTGACTTAAACTGGAGGTTTTTGAAATGGCTCCTTTTCCAGACACCTAAAATCATTAACTTATTGACAAAAAATGTCTCAGTTTTTGTTTTTAGCACTTGGGCTGTTCTTAGAAGCACTAAATGGAAGTACAGAAACAGAATTAAAATGTTAATTCTGCATAATAGGTTTCCCATAAAACACCTCTTTAGTGGAAAATTACAAATATCTGTGGGTGTAAACTAAACTGCCACATGTTGCTTTCTTTGGAAGCTGAAGAAACTGTGTACATTAACATATAAACTGTTTCTTCACTACCCATAGAGATTCTGCTTAAAGTCTCCAAACATGCTAGGAAGAAAAATCAGGAGGAAAAACCTCTGCAGCTCCTTTTTCTATGCTTAAGCCTGACAGCTGAAAGCTGCAGTAATCTGAACTCACATGGATCTGCGACTGAAGTTTTGAGCGTCATGTGGGCGACATAAGAGTGGATTAAAGAGAAAATAATTCAGTTTCTGCTGCATCAAATTTACCTTTAAAATGTTCCCAATATGAGGACATAAAGGTTATATGAATGTTTAAATCTGCTTTTCTGTTTTTGGTTGAAGTGGTGAACCATTACAGCTACAACTACCTGTTTGGAAAATGTTCTTCTTTTAAGGAAAAGTTGTGAAAATAATGACATATAAACTTAAAGTAAGTAGTTTAGGTGCTTAAGCTACAACAGTGTCTGCAAAGTGAAAGTGGAAATCAACGTTTAAGGATCCCAGAGGAGGCCTGACATTAAAACAAATAACAATCATAATGGACGGACATTCCCTAAGTTCATGCTTTATCCTTCCTCCAGTACGGCAGCAGCTTGTATTTTAGACACCAACTTACGAACAAAGGAATCATCACCAAACTGCAGAGAGGGAAGTGAAAAGGTCACAGTGAAAGTTGGTAAAATAAATAGCTAAAAGTACTTCAATGCACTACACAAACACATTACAGTTAGTTTACTGGGTGAACCTAACACTGCAAAAAACACCAAATCTTATTTTGGCTCTACTTTCTAGTGCAAATATCTTATTACACTTGAAATGAGACAAGCTAACTTACAGGTAACTTTTTAGCAAGATACATTGGCTTGTTTTAAGTAAATAATTCCTTAATATTGATGAAAATGTATTAGTCCTATTGGCAGATAAATTAACTTATAACACTGGAAAATGCCCTATTATAAGTTAAATAATCTGCCAATAGGACTAGTACTTTTTCATCAATATTGAGGAATTATTAACTCAATACAAGCCTCTATAACTTGCTAAAACATTACTTATAAGTTAGTTAGTCTCATTTCAAGCTTACTAAGATATTTGTACTAGAAACTAAACCAAAAATACTTGGTAAGATTTTGTGTTTTTGCAGTGCATTACTAGGAGCAGTCAGAGTGCTCTCTGTTAAGCTAAAAGTAATGTTATCTGATTAAAAATCAAGCTAAAAACTACTTGGTGACCAGAAATGTTACTAAAAAGTAACACTAGTTGCATCACATTTGGTCATTCTCACACCCTGTTCCTTTAGTATTTCACAAACCGCATTTCTAAATCTCATTTTGTTCGTAGTGACTTTACGTAAAAGCCTTTAGCTGATGATTCTGACTCATTCTAATGCATCACATCTTGAAATATTTGTTTTCCTCTGAGATTTTTAGTCATTCACACGCTTGACATCCAGACTTGTTGGCTACCGGTGACCAGAAACAGGACGTTATGAAGCAATAAGGAGCCATAAAACAGACGACATTTAGGTTGAGAAAATGGTGACAAAGGCTATAACTGGTTCAAAAGTAAACTATGTGGAAAAAAACTCCAGAAGAACAAAGAACAGTTACGAAAAGCCAGGTATTCAGGGGAAGCAACGGCTTGGTTTGTGGCTTTTCAAACTTCCTAATTCTCCAAACTGAGAATTTGAAGACGTCAGAGAAATTTGGTAAGGCTAAAAATATCTGTTCGATTTTAACTAAATTTAGAGTGCGTAATAAATGCAGCTGCTTCCATAATGAAATTCAAAGAATGAGTCCTGAAATTATGTATTCTCTGCCAGCAGGACATAAACATGGTGGCTAACCAGTTTTACTGGGTTTTCCATTTATCACCACTCATTTGCATGAATCATTTAGCTAGAAAACTGTTTGTCACCCAAAGGAGAAGAGAGAAAACAAACAATGGGTTCCAAATGCATTTGATTTATTATATGAACTTACACAAATTTAAATACGATTATACCTGAATTGTATGGAAAATGAAGAATGAAAAATCTGAAAAGTTTTACCAGATAATACACAGTAGAATATCAGGATTCACACATCGAATGTGTGATAAAACCATTCTTTTTCGCAAAAGTCCTCAAGTTTGGTCATTTAAGACAAAGAGCATGTGTGAATAAAGAAAATTAAAGTCTTGCCACAGGTTCTCATTTGGATTTGCTTCCTTCATTCTTAGTTAATGAGATTTTATTCTGGTCAGTTCTGAATATTTTAATGTCCTTTCAGAATGACATGTTTTAGGGCATCTTGTCACTTCTAATCCAGATTAAGCTGCTGCTGGCCATCAGCATGTTTAAATGGCTGCAATATATGCAATAATTCAACCGTACTTCTTTGAAAAGCATTAGCAAAGCCAACACTTGTTTTTCCAGCAGCCATTGTAACTTACCAAAAGTGCTGGAATTCTGCTTGGGTTACTAGGTAACAAGGCTGGGGTTGCTAGGTAACACCGTAGAGCCTGTGGAATGTGACTTCACAATCCAGAGGTTTTTGAAATGGCTCATTTTCCAGACACCAAAAAACATCAACTTACTGCTAAAAAGCAGCTGGGTGGTTTTTGTAAGCGGTTGGACTGTTTTTAGAAACAGATGAGACCCAAATGGAAGTACAAAAACGTGCAAAATGAGAATTTTCTACAAGAGAATCCCTTTAATATTTTTCTATGCTAATCTTTCAATTGCATCTTAATTTATACATTAAGTCCTAAGAGTTGTGAAAAGGGCATTCCACCACACTGAGATAGCAACAGACACACAAACAAATACCAAACTATATATTTAATCTGCAGCTGGTGGTGATGAGAGTTAGCAATAGCACACTGAAGAAGAAGGGTGAGAAAAGAAAAGAGACGCACTGTAGTTGAGGAAGTGCGGGTTTCCTTTGTGATTACTCACCCTGACAAAGTTATCGGGGAAGAACCCCCTGCGTCCGGCCAGCTCGCCCTCCCACCAGCCGCCATCGTCCCGCCGTATGTTCTTGATGATGTCGCCCACCGTCAGGGTCAACTCATCGTCCTGCTGAGCCTCATAGTCGAACTCCACCACGGCCTCCACTGCGCACACAGAAAGTCGCAGGTGGAAAAAGGGTCAAACGGCACAGATAAAACCACCTCGTTCCACATTTTCACAGAACCACAGGAGTTTAGCATGTCATTACAGATGCTTTATATATTATTTAAACTGGAAATGAAAGAGGAACACGCTCAAATCACGGTAATAAAATTATATTTACAGTTAGCTTTAGCAACCCAAAAAAGCAGAGATGATTAATGTAAATAAAGTTCTCCACATTTCAAAACCAGCATCATTTATCCATATATGGCATGTTTGATTTCTTCTTCTCTTCATCTCTCAACGCATCATTTCTCTCAACACAAACCACTCGCTGACTGCACCTGTGTTTGCCACAAATGCATAACAAAGTTCATTAAGTGGTGAACACTTTTGATATCATCTGTGTCACATTAGCAGTTGAAGACAGAGATACGAAGCTCGATCTTTTGATCTTCCCTTGGTAAATGTTAACTTTCAAGCTGCACATAAGAAGACGTGGCGATAAAGCTGTGAAGATAAGTAACTAATATGATACTAAAATGTTTAAAAAGGTTATTAGCTTAAATAAAAAGTTACAGATGCACTGAGCAGCTATTTTTTCACTTGTTAAATCCAGATAACAACAGCAAGTTTGTTTGTGAACAGCAACTAAACCTTTGCTTAAAATATGAGTGAAATGAAATTGAGTTATACCATACAAATCTTAAGTTGAATTTACACTGCCTTGGAAAAGTATTAACATCCTTGAGCTTTTAAATATTTTGTCACATTTCATCTAAAAACTATTTTACTTCAACCACAAACTATTTTATTTGGATTTAAATAAGATTAAACCACCTTTAGCCAAGAGCTGCTAGCTGAAGCTTGTTGATGCTTATCTTAAAGCAAAAGAAAATATTTAAAATTGAAATTAATTTCTTCTTAAGTTTTGATGCATTAAGAAAATAAAAAAATTAAACATGTAAATTAGCCACAAGTAGCTGCAAATCAATGTTAGCTGCTGCTAGCATAGTTAAAACCCACCATTACTAAGCAACACGCAAAAAAAGTTTGATTCTTAATATTTGTGAGATAAGAAGTCATATATAGATTCTTTGTCGAGTTTTGCTTTAGTTTTATATTTAAAAAAAACATATAAATTAGCCATGTAGCCACAAACCAATGCTAGCTTCTTCTCTGTTATAATGGGTGCTAATGGCTACTAGCGTCTAGCTCAGGGTGAATCTCGTGTCTGCATTCCCTCCTCAGTTTGCAGTCAAGTTCTCCAGAATCCTGTTGGTGAATATTTGACTCAGGTGTGTTGAAGCAGAGCCCTTCAGGTCTGGATTTTAGGATCCCTGATGTAGCTAAACGTAGCTAATTTCATTTTGAGAATGTTACAGACTTCTCCGCCAAGAAAAAAAAACATACACCCAACTGCAGGATCATTTTATGAACCTTTATGTAAGATTTATTTGACAATTTCCCATTAGAAAGAGGCAAAAATAACATAAACCAAGAAAAAAGTTGAATAAAAAAAAGAAAAAGGTATTAATCTAGATAGACACTGCAGCTCTAAAGGTTACTGATGCTCCAACAATGAGATTCTTATGCCAAATGGGGGAAAATCTGCTGAGGAGTGGGAAAACTGTTATTTTCAGACAGAGAGATTAAACCCAGAGCAACAGATGAACAACTTTCATGTGAATAGACCTAGAAATGTTTTTTCAACTCTCCAAGTTCAACAGGAAGAGAAAACCAGAAGACCACCAAGCTTTTCATGTGCTAAACAGCTGTTGCTACAATCCTAAATCAGAAAAAAATAAAAACACAAATAGGCTGAATTTACCTAAATAAAACAAGGCCAAGAGAGAAATACACCATTTTTACAGCTATCCTACACAATTCTGAATAAAATCTTTGAAAATGATTGAATTTGATTGAAGTTTGAAAAGAGTTTTAAATTCAAACTGCAGTTTTGTAATAAAGTGCAAACTAATGTTTAATTAAAAGCTGCAATTGCAAAGTGTTATTTTCAGTTGAAACCAGAGATTTTTAAACACCTAACAAAAAGCCACGCACATTCTTTAGATTTAAATCAGAACAAACTCCAAAATGATTTTAATTTACATCATCACTGCTTATTTATGCAAGTAATAAATATTGTCATATATTGTTTTTATCTCCAAAGTGGTGCTGGATATAAATGAAAACTTATCTTGAAAATGCTTGAAGTTCGCTGCATATAAACTCTATTAAACTTTATTTTATTTTTTGTTTTAGTTAGGATGTTAACGTCTATTTCAACATTAGTTTAATGACAAACTGATTATCTTTTCCTTTGAGTCTCTTGTGTCAAATATCTGCATGTTGGTTTCATTGTTTTTACTTCGTAATCTTAACATTTACGACAAAAACCAGTAATATATTAAACAAAATCTGATTTGATAGGTTTGTGTTACCTTCACAACCTCAAGACTTTCTAAATATAAGTATTTAGTGGCTTTTTAAAATAAATATCCGCCTGTAAAGTCACGTATCTGCGCCTGACACCTCTAACCATAAAAACAGACGTACAAAAGTCACCTTTCATTTTCATGCAATAAGCGAAGTCGCTCTGTTCAATGCAGCTTTTGTTTTCAAGAACCAGAAATATATTAAACTCGACATGAACAGCATTCATCTAAGAATGTCCTGGGATTTAACACCTGATGTTTCGAATTATGCCGCTTCATGGAGCATTCTTTTCAATTTTGTGAGATTCACAAGCCAAGTTTCAAGTTCAAGCATTAGGAGGGTTAGATTATCGAATCGTTTATCATTTAGAGTGATACATTTCTTATCTTGATAAGAATTTGACACTATAATGATGTTTAAAACTCTCCTTATTGTCAGGACTGAGTTTTACTATTTTCTCCACTGTTTGTTCAATAAAAACATAAATAAATACCAATAAATGTGAAAATAAGGAATGTACAACTGTAAAATGTAAAATCCGATAACCGATACTGATATTTTTTTCCTATACCTACTTACTGAAACTACATGGCTTTCTCTACTGTGGAATTAAAATACTGCATTATCTTTGTCAATTTAGTCTGTTACCAAATGAAAATGCTAAAATTTAGGCTGAAAATGATGCAACTCTTTGTGTTTAATGTGAAATTTATTCATGACATCTGCTCTCTCTGAGACAACAACACGCAAATTTGTAAACATTCACCAAACTAAACTCAACTTTTTCACAATTAACAAATGAAAAGCACATCAGTGCATCAATACATCAGTTCACCACTTGTATCGGTGAGTTTTTTGACGGAATGGCCAACGTCCGATATTAAATTTTACAGATAATATCAGCAAATACCAATACCAAGCCGATAATATCGTTCATCCCCAGTGAAAATACAGTTACACGATTTAGCTGTGACAAAGACGTCTCTAGCTGCGCTTCATTACAAACGTGAGAAAAACTTTGTCTTTCACATTAAACTGCAATAAAATAAATTCATGTTTTCGGTTGTAATGTGATAAATCATGGACTCTTTTGCATAATAACCTCTTTCTGCAGCTGCGTTTACAATAAGAAACATGGAGGAAATGTTTCTTTATAACGAGGGTTGATTCTTGTTTCAACATCAGCCATGATGGGAGGGGCATTCTGGAGCTGGGTAACCATGGTAACGACAAAGGGGTAGCTAGCACAGTAGCTTCCTCCACCTAAATGCCTTCACATTGTGTCAAAGCCACAGAATGACGACAGAAAGCATAAGTAACCACACGTTGTGAAAGCAGCTTGGAGGTCAGGGCATTCCTGAGAGGGAACATCACAGGCAGGGGGAGGAAGACGAGGAGGAGGAGGAAGGCTTTCACTAGATACCAGTATCAGACACACAAAGGAATCAGCCGTGCTGGTCAGATGGGAAGGATCTGATTCTGGCTGCAGATAACTACAGGGATTAGTCGCAGATGTGATAGTGGAGTGGCTCAGAAACCATTTTCTGTCGCTGCTGGTAGTTTGTGTGTGAGAAAGAGAGGAAGTGGCAACAAGCCTGTGAGTGGAAGTACAAGGAGAAGTGTGAATTTATAGCTTGTGACAGTTCTCTTACAGACTGTATTACGGTACAGTTAAAGCAGCACAGCAGGAGAGACCTGAACCAACACGTCTGTTAGCATCAAATACACCAGAAAGGAGACGACGGCGTCTGAGGGGGTTCAGCTCGTCACCGAGGGCAAAAAGCGACAGAAACACAAAGTTAATGAAGCCATGCAGAGGTGGATGAGTTCAACAGAGAAACAACCAGGCAGAAGCTGCGTTTCCTTTACAAACGTCTGCAGAATGCTGGTGATATTACACTAATGTTGAAAAACAATAACATTTTGCAACTGTGGTGTTTCCACTTAGTAACAAATTTAATTAAGATCCAGAGATGGGCAAAGTACTCCAAATTTGTACTCAAGTAAGAGTACTTCAACATATTTTTATCCAAGTAAAAGTAAAAAGTATTTGGTAAAAAGTCTACTCAGGTACTCAGAAACTTATTTTTTAAGTTTTTTAATTTTTAATTTTATATTTTTTAACTTATTAAATAAATTATCATTCATTTAATTTAAAATCACCATCATCAGTTGGGCCAAAATATAACGTTAAATGGGAATGTCTGTATTTTAAGGACAAGAATGGCAATAATTTATATAATTAACAAAAAAATAACAAAATAAGGCAAAAGAAAATGTTTCCAAATCAGTTTCTTTCAATTTAAAACTTATGAAACTTTAATAAAAACTGCAGGTGTGTGCCTGTGTCTGGTGAATTTTGGGTTAAAACATGTTTGTTTTTCATTCAGTGGGTTGAAATTTTACTCAAGAGTAGAAATACTTCATAAAAAATTACTCAAGTAAAACTAAAAAGTACAGCGTAGTAAAGTTACTCCTAAAAGTACATTTTTTTTTCAAAAAAGTAAATCAAGTAATTGTGTAAGTGTAACTAGTTACAGCCCAACTCTGTTAAAATCACACA